ATTTTTTATTTTTGCCTTTCCAAAATTTTGGTATATAAAATTTACTCGTTATTGTTCCACCATTACCGTTTCCTTTTCTTTCTGATCTGTCTAGAAATTATTTTATTATGCAGTTGAGGACGAAGTGAATTTAATTAAAATTGAAATGAGCAGAAGCGAATGAACTATTAGTAAAAACTCCTGTTATACGCAGTTGTGTTTGCAAAGGAAATAAACAAATTCAAAATCAGGAATGTTTGAAAATTATGTAATTTAGGTGGAAGCATGTGACGCTACCATGGCATATTTGTCAGTCTAAAAAAAGTCCTCTAATATTTGAAAATAGATATGCAAATGAATGATGATTCATGATATTGTTGATTTATCGGTCTGTCACTGGAACTAGAATAATAGACTAAGCAACCGTGCTAGGACGGTAAAAATATCTAGTAAGTGATGCAACAACCTTGTTATGTCTTGTAAACTAGAATTAGGAAAATGAGAACAATAACCGAGCATGAAATAAGCGGTTTGTCGTATAAAACACTGTTTTACTTGAGAATAATACAAAAAAAAAGTGGTGGTAATAGTAGTAGCAATAGTAATCAGTGGAAGTAATAATAATAATTAACAATATAGTAATTAGCAATAGTTAAAAATAATGACAACCGATAATAATAGCAATAAATAAAAATAATAATAATTGACAATAATAATAATAATAATAATAATAATAATAATAATAATAATAATAATAATAATAATAATAATAATAATAATAATAATAATAATAATAATAATAATAATAATAATAATAATAATAATAATAATAATAATAATAATAATAATAATAATAATAATAATAATAATAATAATAATAATAATAATAATAATAATAATAATAATAATAATAATAATAATAATAATAATAATAATAATAATAATAATAATAATAATAATAATAATAATAATAATAATAATAATAATAATAATAATAATAATAATAATAATAATAATAATAATAATAATAATAATAATAATAATAATAATAACCTGTAGCCCATCGTCATACTTATCAGGAAGTAATCTTAATGATATCTATCTTAAATTATCTTACCTCTTAAATTACCTTATCGAAAATTATCTTATCTATTTTAAACTGTCCTATATCAAATTATCTTATCTTAACATAAACAAATATTAACTATGCTTATGCAAACATTCATTAATTCATTTACAGGATGAAGATGGAATTGCAGGATTCAATGTAGTATGTCCAGGAATTACACACTATTCTGATGATGCTTTTGATAATTGTCCAAATTCAGGTATGCAATTTGTTTTGCCTATTTATCATATTATTTCCATTAAAATAATGCTATTAATAATAATTATAATGATATTAATAATAATGATATAATTTGTTTTTAATGATTTTATTTCAAAATGATTGATAATTCTTTTTTTTTTTTAAAATATCTGTAAAAAATTTTGAAAATTTTCATTAGTAATATTTATTGCTTTCACAGGCTCTTATCAGTTTCGTTTAGTTTCCTCGTCTTTTTTCTTTTTTTTTTTTTTTTTTATTTTTCCTTTTCAATAATTATTAAAGATTTATTGCAAATAAATGAAGTGTAAAATTTAATTCAAACAAAAAATTAAATAAATTAATTGCCAATAATTTATTGACAAATAAGATCAATGAAATGGATAAGATTACTGTAGTAATATTTGAAATATAAAAAAAAATTTTTTTAATGGTTTTAAATTATAATCTTTAGCGTATTTAAAAGTAATTTGCATCGTAAATATTTCATGCTAATTCGACTATTTATATTTGATAATGCTTTATTTATTTTTTTTTTTTGCATTTCTTTTTTCGTTTTTTTTTTTCTATTTTCCCTTTTTTCTTTCCTTTTTTCCACTTTTCTCTTTTATTATTTTTCATTTTATTTCTCTTTTTTTTTTGCAAACAAAATTTTATAAATTTATTTTATAAATTTACTTATTCAAAAGCTTTAAGGAAATTTTCTATTACTAATTTTTACGGAAAAAGTTTGATAAAATTGATGAAATCATTTTAATCACTCAAATTATATGTTAATTTAATTTGATAATTTCAGATTATCAAATTGTTAATGTTATAATTTTAGAAGTGAAATATGTATGGGAATGAGCAAAAAAGAGAAACGAATTTGAAAAATTCAAGAAAAAATGATCACTATTTGAAAATATCAAAATTTTAAATGAATGCCATAAATTTTTTTTTTTATCATCGCAATAAATCACATTTATAATTATCAGTACTTATCAGTTATTTGAATTTTTTTTTTTACCAATTTTTATCAACTTTTCGTTGCTTTTTTTTTTATTCCATTCAAAATAAGCATTTCAAAAATTCATTCCATTCAAAATAAGTAATTGATGATTGAAAATAAGTAATTAAAGAGATAATTCAAATATAAAGGAGAAAAAAAGAAAATTGCAAACTAAGCATTGTTGTTATCATTTGTCACATTTTGAAGAAAAAAAAGAACGAAATTTAAAATTTGAAAAGAAAAATGAAAATAATGAATTATTTACAATAAAAGAAAAAAAAAGTAAGGAAAGAAGAAAATTCAATGTCAATTCCATTTAATTAAAAATAAATAAGCCTCAAATAAAAGTTTCTTTCTTTTCGGTACTGAAACAATTTTAATTCAATGTCAATTCCTTTTAATCAAAAATAAGCCTTAAATAAAAGCTCCTTTCTTTTCGGTATTGAAACAATTTTCTAAATGATAGTAAATACCGATTATAAGTGAATATGCTTACTTTGAATTTTTTTTTAAAATTTTATTTTTATCCAAATCAAATTTAATCCCAAAACAATTTCAATACACTTTTGCTGTTACCATTCAATGATAAATGAGATGATGG